GGGAATGGTTTTAGATTTTTACCTTTAGTGGTGGGGATGATGGATATTTGACATGTCGCGGGGATGCATGGGGATGCAAATTAGAATGTTATGGGGAGATGGGAGGCCAACATCCGTTTTGCCCCGTCCCATAGGTGAAAACATATTTTTTTATGTAAGGAAACTAATAAATTCTCTTTGTAAAACATAAATGCCACATTTTCCTCTTTACTCCATGTTTCTCTATATTTTCTCATCTATTCTTTCCCCTTTCTTTTCATTCTATTTTTATTTTTCTCTACAATTCTTTTTATAACGAAACAAACAAAAGGAAAATTGTTTTCACAATCATGCTTTCCATTGAAAATTGTTTTCTTTATCAAATTAAATGATTTCCATGCCATGAATAATGTTTTTCAAAAATGGAAATGAAGCCTCAATGGAAAACATGATTGAAATGATATGTTCTTTGTTTTCTTGGCTATGGATATCTTATAGAGAAAAAAAATTGGAATTAAAAGGGAAGGGAACGATAGAGGAGAGAAAATAGAGAAGTGAGGAGTAAATAGGAAAATGGGGTATACCTTTTGGAAAAGTGAAAGTGCAATTGACACTCAAGAAAAGGGGTTGATTTAAGTAAGGTAACAATTAGTTTTCTTTTAAAAAAATTTCAACTTACAGGAAAACCAGTAAAACTTGGTTCCTCCATAATGGAAACAGTAAAACAATTAAAGCAATAAGATGTAAATCCAAAATTAACCAAAGTTCACCTCAACTCAGAGCCTATGTCCTTTCTACCGTGATTACTCTTATTAATCTTCTCCGCTAGACAAAAGCAATTACAATTAATTGTTTGTCTACTCGAGTCAAATGTCTACTTGAGTCAAACAATCAACCATACCTAACACTAGATGTGCAATATCGCACTTGACCTCACAAGTGTAAGCGTCATTCGAAGCGCACCTAATTAAGTATGTGGTGAATATGCTTGGCTATCATAGGAAGTGGGAATTGACAATATACGATTAGGGACAAGGAAAGTAGGGAGCTGTCAACAAGCTTTTAAGAAACTTGTAAAAATCGTTCATGGATCATTTAAGGCAACCACGAATAAGGGAAAACAATAGGCAACAACGATTGACGCGTGAAGGTTACACCCCATTCATAATCCATGAGATTAATAAATCCATATGGTTCGGAACCACGAAAGGAGGATCGGGGATGATGGTACGAAGTGAGTTATGGAGTCACATACGCCCGTATTGACCTCTACTCGATTTTTATAGCAAAAAGTATTTCCTGCGATCTCAAAGGCATGCAAACAAAGATTCAATTTGCTCCTAACTAAATTAGGCTTAAATGGGTCAATATTAATGCACACATAATTCTAATCATTACTGATTACTTGATTAAACAACAAGATTAAAAAGGAACTTAAACCGGTAGTCCAAATTATCTTATTAGTCGTGATTTTCAATTACATATTCCCTTTAAACATGCAATATGGTGATCAATAAATATATAAAATAACAATAATATTAGAAGCAATTTAATCATAATATCGTTAGTCAAATCATCAAAATAAAATAACAAACCCTAACATGATACTAGCAATAATATATATATATATATATATATATATATATATATATATATATATATATATATATATATATATATATATATATATAAGAATAAGTGTAATTAAGTAAATTACTCACGTTTGCGCGCTTCTTCAAATTGCTACATCATGAATAAAGCGTTAGTAACTTCAAGAATATATGCATTAAAGTAGAATTGATTTGGTCCAAACCCTCAATTGAATTCTACCTTTCACACCTTGGTTTAAGTATGGAACTTCGGGTATAGTATGGACTCCTTGGAGTGCTTAGGGAAGGAATGGTGTAATTGAGAGAGTAGGTTTAAGGCTTGGAATGTGAGAGAGAGAAATGAGAATGTGTGTTTGTTACCCGAAACTTGTAAATGAGCTTCGTATTTATAGATAAAATGTGAGGGATGTAGTCCAGAACCCTAGAAAATGAGCGCTGCTGAAGAAAATGCACCATCGCACGGTACTGAGTGACGTGGCACGATACAGGTACCGTGGCATGGTACCAAATTCTATCATTTTGGAAAAAGAAAGCACGTTAAGAAAAGAATCAGGAAAATATTGGTGTCGTGTCATAGCACAGGTACCATAGCACGGCATTTAGTACCGTGGGACGGTAATAAGTACCGTGGCGCGGTACTTCCCAGTTTCTATGCGTTTTTAAAACTTCCATAACTTTTGATCCGTAACTCGGAATAAGGCATACAATATATCATTTGAAAGATCTTTAAGTCTAATTTTCAACTTAATTTAAATCAGGTCAAAATATTTTTTATATTTTAATATATGGCTGTTTTAGTGAAAGGGTGTCAATTTTGGGCCGAGTTTTAGTGTTTTATTCATATCTTCTTCTTTTTAAATCGGAATTGGGCTAATGATATATCATTGGAAATATTTTTTCAAGGACTATCTAACCAAATAATATTTGGATCAAAATTATGGGGCCAAAAAATCAGTTTTTCTCGGTTTTGGATTGTGGTCACGAAAAGAGGAAAATTAGTTATGCTTTGGGAAAATGAGCTAGGAATTGGATTGGTTTGGGTGAAATAATGAAATGTTGGGCTAAGGATATGGTTTTAAGCACTCTTTAAATTCAATACACAACCTGACCAATAATGGCCGTGAAAGGTTGTTCCTCATCGGGTTTGGTTTTGGGGAGACATTTTTAGGTGTCTACAACAAGCACTTGCATTTGACCTCATAAATACCACACAATACTAACCCTTTAGTGATTCAATTACAAATGCACAAGCTCTCTCAATTATATTTTCTCACAAAGCTAAGGTAAAAAGACAATTATGAAACCCTAACAACGCATGCACTACAATTTGATATATATTAGACAAGCTGTTTTCCAAGAGTATTTGAGCTTCTCAAAGAAATCTCTTAAAAATGAACGTGAAAAACTTAACCTCAAACTGGAAATGTAATTGTGTTAATAGTTATTGAATAGTCATTGAGAGATGAATCATTTCGTGACCTAATAATAAAAAATATCATATATTAGGCAATACACAACATGCCACTTTTATAATGAAAAACATCCTTCATATTATTCTATTTTCATTGATAGAACCAAAATAATATCGATCCTAAGATATATATATACGAGATAATTCATCTCTCTAAGTAGTACAATTACAATTCCCTTAGTTTGAATTTGGGTGTTTTTTTAGGTGGGTGTTGTTGGTTGTACATGGTTGAATTTTTGGTGGGTGTTGCTGGTTGTGCATGGTGTTGACTGTAATGGGTTAGGTGTGGTGCGTGGTATTATGGGGGAGGGGGTGCGTGAAGGGGTGGTTGTTGGTGTATCGTGTGTGGTGGGGGTGGGTGTGGATATTTCATGGTGAAAGGGTGTTGTTGGTGTTTAGGGTGTTGTTGTTATGTACACCACTCCATGGAGGAGCATAAAGATTGTGGTGTAGGTTTAGAATTGTTGTGGTGTAAGATAAGGCAGGTAGTAGGGAGTGAGCAAGTCAAAAGATTGGGTTTAGGTTGGTTTCAAATTATTTTTTTTCAGGTTTGGCTGTCGGTAAATCTAACAGTTTTGGCTGGTTGTCCATGGCAAGCGAAAGACCGACGACATTATTCATCTTGAAAATAGTAAATAAATAAATAAATAAATAAAAATAAGAAGAGGGGGATATATAAGAAAATTTTGTAATTTACCACCCACATAACCTACTTTTTGATATTACCACCCATAAAAAATTACTTTAAAAATACAACTAAAAAAAGACAATATATATACATATATATATATATATATATATATATATATATATATATATATATATATATATATATATATATATATATATATATATATATATATATACCACCAAAACAGTTAAAGCAAACGTTTTAAAACACTATTTTTTATTTTCATGCCAAAAACAAGTTCTCTAGGCGGTCTGATTTGAGATCGAAAATGACAAAATAATTATCCAAAATGCCTCATTTTGCGTGTATCATGCAAACCGAGATATTTTTAGTATGCAAAATGAGGCATTTTCAATCATTTTTTTTTTGCAGGTTTTGACTTCAAATCAAATTCAAAGGTTAAATAATGACCCCAAAACCTCATAAGAACATGTTTTTGGCACAAAAGCCGATAAATTTTTTTTAAAACCTTATATTTAAAAGTTTTCGTAATGAAAAGTGTTAATTGGTGGTGAAATCTTTTTTTTTTTTTTGGATGGTAATTTAAAATAAATATTTTTATGAGTGATAGTTTCAAACAGTGGGTTATTTGTGGATGGTAAAATAAGAATTTTCCTAATTATAATTATAGCATTTAAAACAAAAAAAAAAGGTAAATGGTAGGAGAAGTTGAAGGAAATTGATTTTTAGAAGAGTATTAGGTTAAGTTCCGTGCCATGCACGGTCATAATTACAGTTTACAACAAATAAATTATAAATAATGATATTTCATCAATAATTTATCCAAAGATAATATTTGTAACTTAAATTTTAATTTATACTAATACCAAATACGTAAAGGTTATTAAATTGCATTGTAAAAAATAGTAATCACTACCACAAAAATAGGAATACAGAACGCCTAAAACAAGCAATATAGAACGTCTCAGAGACGTTCTTCTGGGGGTGTCTTATAAAGTCTACAAAACGCGTTCTATATCTAACACAATACAGATCGCCTATCTAAGATAGGCGCTTCATATTCTAGGTACAAAGTAAATAAAAAATAAGGAAAAGAGAGTTGTCATCTTAGGATAGGCGTTCTATAGCGATATAATTTAAAAAGAGAACGCCTATCATAGATAGGCGCTCTCTTTTCCTCATATATTTTTTATAAAAAAAATTATTATTATCAATATCAATAAAATAATTTTATTGATATAATAATAATAATAATAATAATAATAATAATAATAATAATAAATCGCCATAACAATAACTTTAAAATACATGTATTTCAATTACAATATTATGGAGTAACTGAATTCATTGAGAAAAAAATTACATTACAAGTTCTCTAATACAACTAATAATCAATTATGAATGTGCTAACAATTGTGGATTTAGAGAAGAAAATCAATGCAGATTGTGTCAAGCTTGCGGTTGTCCAACAAATTTCCACTTTAATATGTGAAAAAACATTTAAAACAACAAATGATAAGACTAGCAGATTGAAATCTAAAATAATAATTGAGAAAACCAAATTTCAAAATTAAAATCAGAAATCTGAATTAGAATAATATCAAAAACTTGGATTGAAATTAGAGATAAAAATCATCATATGAATACCACCAAAAACACGAATTGATGAATGACGACGGCTAGCTTGAGAGGAAAGAGAAGGAACGCCAGTACACCACCGTTTGCAACCACTAGCCAGCTCAACAACGCCAAACACAAGTCAACCCGCAACAAGTTGCTCAAAACAGAGAAAAACAGAGATTCGATGGTTTAATCGAACCAGGGCATCATTCAAACCACCTTAAAAATCACGATCGGAATTTCGCAAACGAAACCACCCAAAAATCATCCAATGGTTTACGAGAAGAAGATACACTAATAGAAAATTTAGACCTAAGTAATTTAAAAAGTTAGACGAAATTTTTTTTTTTTAAAAAAAAATAAAATTAGATCTAATATAATTGAAAAATGAAACCAAATCATAAGATGAAAACTAGAAATATAAGAACTAAAAAACTAATAATTAAAATGAAATTAGTCATTACAACTTACAACAGTAGTAGACGACTTTCGGTGTGAGGGAGATGCGGTGCAGCAATGGCGAGGGAGGGTCTGAGGGAAGTCGATTATGTGGTGTAGTGTTCGATCTGGGTGGTGGCTGATGTTGTGGGATGTAGCACGAAGTAGCAAGACGGGGTACAGCAGCTTGTTGGCCGTTGGTGGCCGCTGCGAAAAGTGGGGTTTTAGTGGGTGAGCGTTGGTGGGTACTGCGCACAACAGCTTGTTGGTGGCGATCTATGATGATGACGGTGGTGATTAATTTTGATGGTGGTTGAGGGAGTAAGAGTAGTTAGGGGAGTGAGGTAAGGAGTTTTAGATCTTAGAGAAGGGAATGAAGAGCGAGAAGGGAAATGAGAGGAGAGGGAAGTGAAGGGGACGGCCGGAGAGGAATGAGAAAGAGTTAGGGTTAGGTTTTTAATTTGTTTTTGTTTTTGTTTTTTATATTTATTTTTAATTATGTTAAACACATATAGAACGATTAATGGAGAGGGGCGTTCTATATTGCATAGTGTAAAATTTTGATATATCAAATAGAACAGTTAACTAAGGGAGGCGTTCTATAATTTTCACATAAAAAACGCTCATCTTACATAGGCGATATATAGAATTCTAGAGATCGCCTATGTAACTTGACCGTTGTGTATTATGTGTTGCTTATTCCACATTTTGTGGTAGTGAATAGAAATTAGAAGCTATAAGGTTTTATATAAATGAATGAAAATATTAGCTTAGGTTAGTACCCATATACAAACTCATATACATTTGCCCTTACATTTTGTTGACACACTTTGACCGACATTATATGAAAATTTAGTTAAATTTATTATACTTTAGGATAATTAGTATTCCGTAATCAACTTTTTTAAATATATTTTTATTGAGTATTAGGGGTTTTTAAATTTTTTTTTTTTTAATAATCACATAAATGTTTATAGTAATCAGATTGAATTTTACAATATATATGATTTTGTTCGGTTGTTCTTATAAAAGTTATATATAATTTTAAGATTTACACAAAGTATGCTACCAAAATAAATTTTCCTTTTTAATTAAAATAAATTTTATTGTCAAATGATAAAAGTTGGATAAAAAAATTTGATAATATTATAATAATCTTGGATAATAATACATAACAATACCTTATTTTTAATCTATGTTAGTATTTTTGTAACTGAAAGCTTCCTAGTATATATAGTAGAAAATAAGTAAAAAAAAATAAATTAATTGAGTATAATTGGATTAAATACGTTGTCAAAATGGAAATAAGTATTATTGTAATAATAAAATGGATGTCATTAAAATTTGGCAAAAAAAAAAAAAGAAAAAAAAAAAATAAAAGGCGGAAAGTTTTTTAACCAAAAAATGACAAGTGTCATTTTTGGTTTCGCCTTTAGTATAAATTAAGTTATTGATTTGTAACCACACTATTCAAATGGTGGATAAGAGGTAGGTAGTAAGATCATGTTTACCTACCTTTAATTTGTATGCCTGATCCATGGAGTGCAATTTTCTTTTCTCCTTAATTTATCATTTACTAGGTAATAGCTTAACATATCCCCAACATTTCATTTATTTCACCCACATCAGAAAAGCTTGGAACTCGCAAGCATACGGGAACGCGGCGTGCGGCAAGTCTTGCGATCAGTTCTCCATTAATTTTTCCGGAGATTCCATACCTCAATTTCACCACAGTAAAACACTCGTCATTACGCATGCTAACTCTTCCATACTCGCGGTTGTCTTGCGCCATGTGTTAACATCTACTTACCATTGCCCTCTCTATATATTTCCGTACAATATCCGTCTTTAATTCACCTATCAAATAAACAAACAAACGAAATATCCAACGTTTACTATCATGAGTTTCGAGTCAAAGCTCCCTTTGTTTTTCTTGTTTCTTTCGGTTCTCCTTGCTTCAACTTTAGCCATCGAATTTCCAAACCACCATCAAGACGCACGACATGAGCTGATGAAATGCATGGAGCGTTGCCAAACACGGCAAGACGGCCGTGAGCAGCGCGAGTGTATCCAAGAGTGTCACCAGGGTTATAAGGAGAGGCAACAGGAGGAGGAGAGAGAGCGATGGGGTGGTTATGGTGAGGAGTTGCTTGGAGCAATGATCAACCCTAGTGATCACGATTGTAAGGAGGACTTAGAGAAGTGCCAGCTTGATTGCTTGAGTGAAGCGAAGCGTGGCATAGTTAAGGAGTTGGAGTGTGTGAAGAAGTGTGCTGAGGAGCATAAGGAGGAAAGAGGTAGACACTCAGTTGATAAGGTTGACGAGTTATTGGAGGACAAGTCCGAGCTTGAGAAGTGCCAGCGTTATTGTGTGAGTGGTGCCAAGCATACCTATATCGAGATCTATGAGTGTGAGAAGAAGTGTTTTGAGGATTATTCGGAGCGAGAGAGGCGTAGGGAGAGGTACTCTGTCGATAAGGATGATCACTCAGACGAGAAGCACAAGCTTGAGAAGTGCCAGCTCGATTGCATGACGGTTGCCAAGCATGGCGTAATCGAGGTATATGAGTGTGAGAAAAAGTGTGTTGAGGAGTATCAGAAGAGGCATAGAGGTAAACAATCTGTTGATAAGAATGACGACAATGATAATGACCACTCAGACGACAAGCACGAGCTTAAGAAATGCTTAATTGATTGCGCCTTGGGTGCCAAGCATACCGTAGAGGAGGTGTGGGAGTGTGACATGAAATGTATGAAGGACCACCCGGACAAGCGAGATGTAGTCGTGGTAAACCAGCAGGATCATAAGAAGAAGCCTAAGTGCCAACGACAATGTTGGAGGAAAAGCCCAGGTGGTAGTAGTAGTGTGGAGTATGAGTGCACGACAGTGTGCCGCCAAGATGACGGAATTAAACACGGTGTCAATGTGGTGCAGGAATCCAAGAACACCGACCGTGAACAACCACAACGCCGCCTCAGCGAATGCCTGAAGAAGTGCCAAAGGCAAGGAGAAGGACATGAATGCCAACAAAGATGCCAAAAGGAATTCCAAAGGAGGCACCCTATATTGGGTTCGATAATGGAACTAACTGCTGGATTGTTTTAAGTTGAAAGTGAGTACGAGGGTGGTATGCATGGTATGATGATGAGTAATGTAGCTTAATGAAGAATGTAACTGTAGTAAGATGATGAATTATGTAGTCATTCACTTTTATCTTTTTGTTTTGAAGGTACTTCAATCTGTTACTTCTATGTTCATGTTATTTAAGACTTTAAGGGTGTAGTTACCACTCTTTAATCGTCAAGGTTTTATGATATAAATAAAGAAACTAGTACCCCCACCTCCTTTATTAATTTTCTTTCAATTTTCTTCCAAGTATCTTTGATTTGAAGAGAAACTTTTAATTGTGAAATTATTTGATAAGTGATTTAGTTAATTATTTAAAATAGTTTAATCGTTGAAGTTAAAAAGAAGGGAAACTTCCCTTAGAGCAACTCCAATGATAAGCTAATTGTCAAATCTTGCTCTGCAATATAAGCTTTTAAATTAATTATTTTTCTAGCTATTAGCTTACGATTTAAATTATTAATATATTGTTTTCATCTTAATTACTAATTTACTTTTAACATTTTCTTTTTATTACATGGAAAGTTTTTTTTCAAGCTAATTGCACATTGTAACTCCAATGATTAAGTTATAGTAGCTAGGGATTATTTAAAATTGCAAGCAAGTCTCTAGCTACAACCATTGTTACTCTTAATACTAGTCTAGATAGTTTTGACTTCTATCAAATACACTCTTTATTAAATTTTGATTACCGCTAGTTACAAACTTTTAAATGGATCTGATTCACACTAATTTATTGTGAATCACTAATATTAGAAACAGTATGATTGTTTTATTAAAAACAAAAAAAAAACAAAAAACAAAAAAAAAGGGGGTTACTATATTAAAATAAAGGTTATTATGAGGTTACTATATTAAAATTAAGGTCATTATATTTAACATAATGTCGTAATTCAGGTTCAAAATACTATCAAAGGTCACACTAGTTTTAGTAATGGTTACTATGTTAAAAATAAGGTTATTACTCCCTCTGTCCCAGATTACTTGCAACATTTTGACCGGACACACTTGTCGATGTACATGTTTGCCCGTCGATATCTTTTATTATATATTTATAAAAGTTATAAAAAGTTTATATTAAGAAACTATACCTTAAAATAGACCCAACATCTTACATGATTACATTGGCTTTCATATAATAGCTAAAAAAGATGGTCGAAGTGAGATGTGTGAATAGTGCAAAAAATAAAAACGTTGCGAGTAATTAAGTACAGAGGGGTATGTTATAATTAAGGTCACTATATTCCATATAACGTCAGTTGCGTGCGTATCAACCTCGGGTTCACAATAATTTTATTGTGGACCAAGTCCATGCAAGATTTTTTACCCGTACTTATGTCTAATTTTACTTAAGTCTAATTAACTATTGTAATCCTATCTTTAGTTTAATTATATAACCTATGACAGCAAGTTTAAATCAATCGCGTGTACAGAAAAACTAGTGTTGATTTATATAAGAGAAGTTTTGGCGTGAAACCGGACTCTCCATGAGTCCAATATATTTGACAATAATATTCTAATATCTAACAATAATATTTTAATATCTGATATAATATTTGACATTAATAATCTAATATTTGACATTAATAATCTAATAATCTAATGTCAGATATTATATTATTAATGTCAAATATTAGATTATTAATTAATGTCACATATTAGAATATCCCTTCAAAAAAATGTCATATATTAGAATATTAATGTCATATATTAGAATATTATTGTCAGATATTAGATTATTATTATCAGATATATTGGACTCACCGAGAGTCCGACTCACCCAATTTTTTTTCGTTTATATAAAGCAAGAAATTTGTGATTAATTAATTAATCAAGAATTTATGATTTTAAAAACTTTACAATTGGTAATGGTTTTTTTTTTTTTGAAAGAAATTGGTAATGGAATTTTGAACAATCAAAATATTTAATTAAAAAAAAAAGTGAGAAAAATAATCTAAAGAGTTTACATTATTACAGAATAAAGTCGGGAGCAGCGAATAAAAAGTACAGTTATAGAGAACTATATATGGAAAAATATGTGTGTATATATATTAGGAGTGATTGATTATTTGATTTTAATTACTTCGTATTAGGATATGATATTATTGGTGTGTGCAATGTGCATAACCTTTGGCATTTTTTTTAGGAAAATCTTTTGGCATATTTTAAGGATGTGTATATTTTCCTAGTCAGCCTAGTTTCTCTACCTCTTGGTCTTGAATTTAGTATAAAACTAGGTTAGATCCCGTGCCATGCACGATTTTTCACTCTTTATTACGGAGTATTAATTTAAAACTATATTTAAATATAAAAAATAATTTGATCCAGAATCTATTTTTTATTTTATCCCAAATCAAGGAGCTTAAAATATTTTTTTGTATCTTTTATGACTATATATTATTATTTTTTATTCAAACTTTCTTCTATTTGAACTCTAATGGCATATTTGTTTTATTTCACAATTGATAATTTTTCATTCACCAATTATGTGGGTTGAAAAATTTATAAACATGATTTTTTATAATAAATAATTTTATTAATGCATTAAAAAGTAATTATTTATATAGAAATTTATATAAAGATTATGGTTAGATATCTAAGTTGATTATTTTACGATTTTTTCAAAAATTTTGGAAGAAAATATTATGTGTATATTTTCTATATCAATTATTTTATTATTATTTTTTTTTACAAAAATATACTAAGGACACACCAGAAGATGACACGTGTCATTGCTGATGTGTCTTTTAGTATATAGTTATTTATCGATTGATTTTTACTCTTGTGTTAGGATGCAATCTGAATTTTTACAAAAAAAATAATGTAAGATTATTGCAGGATATTACAGAGTTTAGGTAAGTCAAAGGATAAGTAATGGTTATAAAGTTATTACAAAAAATATTGGTGAATCAGCAAAATCAATTACAATCAATAATTACGTGTTATGTTCCCATCAATACAAAAAATAAATTAAAAAAACGCTACTTTTTGCCTAAAATAATAGAGAATCATGTTAATCATCAAAAGAATATTTAAATAATCTAGAATCAGACATTCTTATAACAACTCATATTTCCTTAGTTGTCAAAAAAAAAAAACTCATATTTACTTACAAATAACTGACACGCCGGAAAAATTACTACTTAGTGCAAAATCGGTTTAGTTAAATTAAATATGGTAAAAAAAAAAAAAAATGTGTTTTGGCAAGAGTTAAAAAAAATAATAAAATAAAATAAAAATCATACAAAATCAGAATAATCCAATTACAGAGAAAATAATGAGACTAACAGCTAGATAATTTTATTTAAGGAAACTCAAAATTATAGAAAGGAAAAAAAGACTAACAGCTACTTAATGAAACAAACCATTACCATCTTATTATTACAACTATAAATATCAATAACTATATACTAAAAGACACACCGGCAATGACACGTGTCAATTTCTGGTGTGTTCTTAGTATATTTTTAAATAATTAATTACTAAATTTTATTTAAGGAAGTTATTTTTTTTAAAAAAAAAGTTTATTTTTGTCACCTATATAAATAAGCAATAATATTAACCATTTTTATGTTGATACTCAATTAATCACGGAATAATAAGGAAATATATAATATTTTTCAAGAAGATGTATTTTTGGTAGAATATTTTTTATGAATATGATCTTGATCAAATATTCCATGTTACTTCAATTTTGTTCAAGATATTAAACAAGTTTGTTCAAAAGTAATTAAAATAACGTACCGTGCCTAATTAGATGTAATAATAACCCCTCTAAACATAACATTATAATAATAACACTCTCTAAGTCAAGTACTAATTGTTTTCTTTCGCACTCATATTTGTATTCCAAATTCCTTAATCACTACCATGTCGAAGTTAGACACAAACTTCTCTCCAGAATTAACTTGTGCGAATAACGATCCCGACGTCGATGCAAGACCACCAGAGAATGCAGCAAGGTCATCGGCATTGATCACTACTACTAGCGACGTAACAATTGAAGTAACGGATGATACTCAAAAGTGTCCAAGGGAGGTTGAAAATCGCTCTACTTTTACCAGCAAGTGCCTAGAAAATTACAAGAATGTTGATTTTGATTCATTTGGTGGATTTTTGAAGACTTGTTTGATGTGTGAGAGGATGATGGGTGACAATGTTAATGTTTACATGTTTAGGTAAATATATTTTTTTTTATAAATCATATTCATATTCTGAAATAATTCTATTGTATTTTCTCTAAAACCTTTTGTAAATTAACATACGTACTCACTTCGTCTTTAAAAGTTCAGCACTTTAGCTGACCAAATCGAAGGATAATATTTTGCCCTTGTTGCTGAAATTTATGTAAATTAATTGCATACGTACGCTAGGATCTGTTCGCTAAAATCGATGATTTTCCATGATCTCTATTTTCTGTTTCCCGTTTTATTCCCTCAATTAGTTTATTTACAGATTATTCAGTATAAATTATGTTATTTGCAACGTCGGAACTTAAGAGGCATTCTGCAGCAATGATTGTCGGAATAAATACATTGAAGCAGAGGAGAAAGAACAGAGATATGCTTTGAATTCTACAGTTAGTGAAGCATTCATGAGTAGTTTTACAAAGTGATTAGAAAGTAATTGAAGTTGAACAACAAGCTTAATTAGCTTTTAAGTACATCTATTTTGCAGCTATTTACTAGATTTATGGTTATAGTTACTCTCACGATTTTATTAGGCAGGGAAGGTTATTTAGATCATCACAATTCACAAATCATTATTCCTTAGCACATAAAAATTAGGATGTAGATTTCTCTGTCGTTTGTACGTGATGCTTAATTTTTGTTTCAGAGAGCTTTAAGCATAACTTTTATTAATCTTTGTTCGATTGCTTAGATTTTCTTTCAGTCAATTGCTACGATTTTTAATATGTCTAATGCAGTATAACAAGTTAGTAGAATTTACACAAAACTGTAAAATCCTCCAAGACCAAGTCAGGAAAGACAATTGTACTAGCAAGTTACTCGAGCATGGATGGATAGCGAGAATAAGATATATATTGGTGATACATCTTGGTGCATATTTTGTGACATTAGTGGCAATTTATACATTGATGTTTGTTTCAAGTATTTGGTGAAAAGCTTAAAAAGCTTATGTTTCCTGCTGCTTTTATTTTTAAAATATACAATTTGATTGCATCAATTATGTTTTGAGTATTAGGACACTGAAGCACCGAAATCTTTAGCTTTCATTTTCTTTTTCTTTATGTATGGTACGTTGCAGACAATTTCAATTATAGGTCTGGTCTAACAGTGCTAAAACACTATATTTATATATACTTTAGATATGGGACATACATCCAAAGTCTAGTCTTAATATGATGTCCAATTCGGTTTATGATCCTGATCTCCCGTTATTTCTATCTCTCAACTTCGATTTTTCCCCTCATCATCATGCATACCGACTTTTAGATCCAATAAAAAAATGCAGAGGATCTGATAGAAAAAATGGGGGAGTAATTTGCTTGTATGCTTTATCAGGATACAGCTCCGAAAGAAAACCAAGCCCCTAGGCAATTTTCGAATACTATAAGGAGGATATGTAGTCAGTTTTCAATCACTCTATCTTAGATTATAGCCAGGATCTTGTAAAACTGTATTGTAATTTGTCACCTCGGTCACTATTTATTTTGTCAAATCTTACAAAGTTACATTATGGCCCTATTTGGTTTGATGTAAAATGTTTTCATGTAAAATGATTTTCCCATTTTTCTTTGTTTGGTTTGTGAAGGTGTGGAAATCAGTTTTGCTATGGTGGAAAATTGCATTCTTAATGATGGAAAACATTTTCCTTTACAAAATAAGGGAAGCCACATTTTAATCCATCCTCCTTACCTCCTTTTTACTTCCCTCACACTCCCACTCATATTTTTGATATTTCTTCAACTTTTCTTGTATGCAACCAAACAAAAGAAAACTAATTTGCAATTGTGCTTTTCTTTGAAAATGTTTTACACCAAACCAAACGGGGCCTAGATGTCTCACTGAATTGTTTTACGGACAAAAACTTGACAGTATAAGCTAGACTATGGGTTTTGGTGCAGTTAACAACAGGATTTATATGTACTGTTGTTATCTCAGATCAAAAACTAACATCACTGCATTGTTGTACCAACTTTGTATATTTCGTTGATTCTTTTAATCCAAAATCTTATGATGTTAAAATGCATAATTTTCCTTGGGGCTTCATTTATTTTCCATAAATTTTAATCTTAAGTAATATTTTGATCTTTTGAATCTCTGATCTCTCTTAAATCATATACCTAAATTGAAACCTTTCCTACAAAGTGAGGCTGCAATTTCACAATTTGAGACTGATGAGTTACGAGAGAGATTACTGAAGAGACTATTGCTGGATTTAATGCTAAGGAATTGTAAAAAGCTTATTTTATTTACTCATTCTTCTATTTTGAGGGAAGAAAGTGTTTTGTCTTACGTTGGTGGGATATGAAATTCTTCATATTTGCTTTGAGGTGCTTCTCCTTGTGGTTTGGGCTAGAAGGGGCATAGTTGTACTGCCGTTTCGCCGATTCATGTTCGTGACACCTTGTAACTTCTGATACAGCGTTTGCCTTGTCTAAACTAGACATGAAAATCATATGTGGTACTTTATTAACTTTTTTGGTTTAAAACTATAAAAATTAGTAGATATGGATAACCAAGTGGGTGGTTGCAAAGATGAATTTAACCTTGTATTTGTTGGGACAGAGATGGATGTAAGTATTGTATTTGCCATGAGTGGTGGGGCGGGAATGGGTATGAGATTTTTTAGGTGGGGATGGGTGTGAAGGTATCATCCTCCTTCCGCCTCATCGACATCCCTAGATGCGATCATTTGTTGCCACCTTACTAAACAAAAAGATAAATGGAATTAAAATTTATGGTCAAATTTTGGATTAATCCGTCAAAATGTTGAAGATTCATCCAAATTCATGATCCATCTCAGATTTTACTATCTTTATTGCTTAGTGTCTGGTAAGAAACAGAAAGAGACTTGATTACAGTGGTTTAGTCTCCGTCTTCAAAAGCAAAGGTCCCCGCTTTAACATTTGCAACTTCCAAACCCAACATTTCAGCGGAATCTATAACTGGTATACTCCAATGTTTTTTTTATTCTGCGCCTTAATCCCTTAGATTTTAAATCTATAATCCTCTGATTTTGTACCCTAAATCCTTATTTTGTACCTTAATTATACATGCACTTTACAATACAAACAGCCTCTCTTTTAAGTATCCAGCACACAAAATATGCATCATCATGATCATTAAAATGAGAACAAGATACCTGTAATATCTATCGTATGTAATATATGCACTGCTGTATATTCGTAATGAATAAAATGGCAAAGCTCTTATGTTTGGTGACTTGTAAGGTTTAGTTTAGCGGTTTAACCCCCTTTCAGACGGTGTTTCCAATTGACCTTAAATAAACGGATGATAACACGAAGAATAAGAAGGATGAGCCTCATAAGATATACTGAGAGTCTAATACATAAGCCAAAAGTTAAGAATAATAGTAAATCTTCGACTCCATTTGAATGCACAAATCAAAAAATAAAATTCCAGGATGTAAAAAGAATGTTTGATGTTAAATACTGTAAAAATAGAGAAATAATGAGTTTCCAGATTTTGGTGCCAAAACCTGTAACGCTGTCTAGTGCTTTTCAAGGGTGTTGGGGACCCTCGCGGGAAAAGCAAAAGGCAAAGCAAACACACACAGAAGCAGTGGACTTTGGGGGATAATCAAGAGAATACCCAACCTTTTTCAGGGAAATGATTAGTTACCATATTATATACTTATATAATTTAATTAAAATAAAAATCTTAATATCTCACTATCATTAAACTTGTACTAGATAAATAATATTTTTCTATCGATTTTCCATCACTTTCACAACGAATGCCTAATCAAATCACTAAGCTCCTATCTCTTTTTTTCTAAATCATAAAAAGAAAAAAAAAATAAAAGGAGACCCCACTAAATCATAGTCGGAAAAAATCAAACTTCACCCAAAAAAAAATTACAAAAAAATAAAGGAATACCCTAAATTGATTAGCTTGGTCAGCAAAAAGTTGTTCGTGTTGAATCTTGTTAGCTTGAATACTAACCCCGTACTTATGTACAATTTCGAGTGTTGTTCTTGTTTACAAAATTGCAAAATTTACACCTGTAATAAGACGGTCGGAAAAGAGATTAATTAACAAACACTAATACTACAAGATTAGATGAAAAGAGTAGATAAGCCAAAAAGAGAAGCACAAGAGGCACCTTTTTCGAACAATGAGCAAGGAAATGTCTGCATCATGTCAAGGAATTGAGTTTGTTCAAAGCTATTCCCGCCTGCAAATATGGGGACCATCATCTTAGTTGTTAATGGAAATGTGCAACAACTTCTGCCTGTTTGTCTCTCTATAAAGAATAACATGCCCTTCAACAGTTTTCCTTTTATCCTCTCTATTTAAGTTCAACGATTTCAGGCTTTAGATCTTGGGTGTGGTCGCGTTGTGATCTTAGTCACGGAACCATTTTAGCCATCAACATAACAGACGGCTTGTGGTTGCCACAACCTAATAGTACTACATTTGTTTTAAGGACCATCGTGATATGGTGATTTGGGGTAGCCAGAGAATGAGGTTCGGTTTCCAGTAAAATTTTGCTATAAGGCAGTAACTTAGCATGCTTTGATTAATTACACAACTAAATAAAATAAAGGAAAGGGACTTCAAATATGGTACAAGGAATCTTACCAGTAAAATATTCTGAATGGCAGTGATGGAGTAGCATCTGAGCTTGATCATTCTGTCAGTGAGAATAACACAAAATATAAGATAAGAATATTAACAGGCATCTCTTGTCTCATAAGTAAGGTAGATGCAGAAGATTCAGAAAAGGGAAGAAAGAGTGAATACTTGATGATGTCTTTTGCTCAACTCAATTCCTCAGAAAAAGCAAAGTTCGGTATAGCCATGTGAGTAAGGCAAGAGATCAGCAACTTCTACTCTGGAACTAGCACAACTCATGCTTCTCCTTAATCTGGCCGGGATCGATTCCACCTCGGCCCAAAATATACTGTAAACTGGTCTGTGATCTGAAAACCTTGACTCAGCGCGGACATAAGACAACTGGTGCAGGCCATTTCCGTACCACAATATTCGATCACACCTTCAAACATATAAAATCACCAATCAGATTGTAAACTCATAGCTTTTTGTTTACTTTTTTTTTCCTGATTTGGAATGAGTGTGCTCGGATATCCCTGAACTTTTTTTGAGGGATTAGACTTACCAAGCAGGTGTTCTTCTTTTCTCCTTAGGATGCAGGTCATCCCCTGCATATCTATCTGAGTTGTGAGAATACTTGTAAGTTGGTGGGAAATATATACTTCCCTCTTTCCACTCGTTAAATACACGGCCTCTTCTTTGTTCTGTACGCAACTGCAAACGAAACCAGTTTTAGTTGTGAGAGGATGTTAACAGCTTCTTTCATTAACATTAAGAAATATTCAGTAAAACACTAAACCTGGTCTCTTTCTAGCAATGCCCTCCAATTTTGCATCTCAACAAGTGCCCTAACTGACCGATATGGGAGTGTTAACCGATAATTTAGATCCCCAAGCCAAATAACTCGACTGCAATTAATTGGATGTCACACAAAAATTGGAGGAATTCTGGTTAATCATTTGACAGATAAAAATAACGAATAATGAACATAATGTATGTTTGTCGAAAAGATCTTACTCATGCTCAACAATCGTTTCAGGGGACTTCTCATCACCCACATTACTGACGCGTGGAAACCTTGTCTTCCTCAGGATCTCCATGACATCAGCATTTCTGCGCAGCTCATCGCCTTCTTTCTGTCCTGAGGTTAAATGGCTGCAGACAAAACAGAAGCTGGTCTGATGCAACAACATGCTGACTGAAATGGAACCCTACAGAAGAAGATCAGGATATCACATTTCTATAATTTTTCTCCTTTACCAATTATACAGATTTTCAACCACAATTAACAAGTGTGTGAACTAGCACTTTGTATAAAGTTTAGGTACCTTATTTCCAAGGTAACCCATTAATCCTCTACCAACACAAGAGACTTTCACATTTCTCACATGCTCTCTCAAATCTTTCCTGACCCATACTGTGAGAAATACCCCTACCATTTGCTTGCTCACCACCAAGCAGTACCGTGATTGCTTAGGCTGTCGGTAGCAGATGTCACTATGGGTAGATCCACCACATGACATTGGTGAAAATAATACTGTGCTTGGTGAATCACCTGGACCATAATCGTCATCAGATGAACCCCATTTAGAAAAATCACTTGGCCTGAAATCACTAGGCCTATAATCACTTGCCCTGTAATCACTGGGCCTGTAGTCACTAGGTCTATAATCACTTGCTCTATAATCACTTGCCCTGTAGTCACTTGGCCTATAATCACTTTGTCTGTAATCACTTGGTCTATAATCACTCGGTCTGCAATTGCTTGGCCTATAATCACTCGGTCTGTTGCCAAATATAGCTCGGTCACAAACACTATAACGCCTTTCAAGTCGAGGCTGTGATGTGGAAGGGTCATTGTCCATCTTCCTACTTCCTGTGGCTTGAAATGATCGGCGAGGGAGGAAAGATGCAGCTCTATGGCGGCCAGACCCTTCAAAATCCGCATTTATTTCTACAACTGGATTAGGAACAGGGGACGGAGTATGATTACCACTGCTTCCACATATTCCAGGACGGTTATTTAATGTCTTTCTTATTAGGTTGACCCATTTTTTTGCGGGACCATTATCTTCAGCTCCTAATATGTTGCTTGGATTTAAGGGCACAATTTCCTGAAATCTGAAAGATAAACTACTTAAACTTCTAACATCAATTGTACATCAGCAACAAGAACATCAAATTCACCAAATTTCGCAGCTGAAATGCAACATGATCACATACCCAAGAACATAGATATCAGCAGCAGGTGAGGCATGAAGCCAATCATCAAGGTTCATATTACTCGGTGGTGATTTTCCACCCACATTCCATGTTGCTACAAAAACACTGAACCCAATTCAACTGTATAAGTATATATTCTTTCAAAGGCCAATGGATTCGGGTTTATAACACAAATAGCTTAAACTACCTATGATTCTGGACATCTATGATCCTAGGATGCTCAAGATATTCTTTGCCAAGTCGTATCCGATCTGAGTTGATGTTGAATTTCTCTGCACCACCAAGAATGGGAAACAAGAATGACAATTTGTCACTAAAAATAAAAAGCATCCATGAAATTACACCACTACTTTAGTGATAAAAATTTATCACATACTAGTAAATTATACTTTATCTATAATTTTACCTGTTTTGCTTTTCTTGATATTACATGGCTCCCTCTCTGAGAAGCTACTTCTCCACTCCACTTCACCTCCTGAATTAACATAATTCAAACTTTATATTATAACCACATCTTCAACAAATCACATTTAACAGTAATATGCTCAAATGCTTTCTAATCAATAAACATAAACCGTCCAAATTAAATAAAAACACAATAGTTATAACTTATAAGTCTTATAACAGGACAAAATAGACAATTTAGAGAATTTTATTTTCAGCCAATCATTAATTTTTAAGCATACTTGGTACTATTACCAAATAAGACTACCAACCCTTCTCCCATAAAAGAACAAAAAAACAAAATTTAGCCTCTAACTAACTGGTTAAGGTAGGTAATACAAAAATACTCCCTCAATCCGAAATTAATTGTCACATTTATAACTCGATTTGAACCCGTATTGTAACAACTAAATCTGAACCGATTTAAATTCGAGTCTAAATTCAAAATTCTGCAAAATGCAAAACAATAAAATTGAAAATTATGGAAAGTAAGAAGCTAACTATCATACCTCCATAAGCAAGATCATCAACAACAGGAAATTCCTCGCATTTAGTCTTGATATTGAACCATTTTTTAATCAAAGACTTCGACCACCAAAGCTTCAACCCCACAAAACAAAAATTAATTAATTTTAATAACCAACATTATATCAACTCAAAAATACAATTAAACAAAAAAATTAAGCTAAATTTAGAAAGAAAAGAATGGTGAAAAAAAAAAAAACCTTGCTTTTCTTGGGTTTTTCATCTCTCATTGTATCACCAATTCTTCATACAGCTCTTTGTTCAACCTACTCCCCCTCCCACCTCACTCTTTCTTCAAAAATACTCTCTAATTATGGTAATTATTACCTTAATTATTTTGTCTCTCTCATATAATATAATATAATGTAGAAAAATGATACCCAAGTTTACAAAAATAAAAACCCACTAAAATTCCCACAAGTGTTTACCAAATAAATGGAAAATAATTATTTTTTGTGTGAAAAATTCTTTTTAGAGAGAGAAAGTAGAGAGAGACAACAAAGAATGAACACACTTTAATGCGTGAGGAACTAATAAGATTGATGGGGTTTTAACTTAAAAACAAAACAATGCCGCAATAAAAAATTTCAGTACTACTTCTACTTGTAGAAATTCTAGTGAGAGAAACTTTAGAGGGAGAAAATAACAAACCAAAGAAAAAAGGAAAGCTCGTTTTTATTGGTAAAATCAAAGCATTTTGAACAGAATAAAGTGTAATTGGATGAAGAAGAATGAGATTTTCCCATGCTTTCTTTTTTTTTTTTTTTTTTTTTTTGGTGGGCCATAATAGAATTGAATCCTAAACACAACGAGAAGAGGGGGGGCAAGGGCCCAAGGAATGATAAAGAAAGGAGTAATGTCGTTTTGCTTTACCTCTTTAAAGCAAAACGACCAGGTCAGCGAAAACAGAGCTGCCCGGCTGACCGAATGGTCAAGCAAAGCTGCCCGGAAGTAAGATTCTATTAAGAATGAATGTTGTTGTTTTTGGCAAACAATTAGTCTTACTACCAACAAAGTTAAAGTTAAGTGGTGGGATATGTAAGAAATATTGCTCTCTTAAAGCAAAAGTGAGTTTTTTTTTTTTTTTTATTTATTATTATATATGTATTTGGTTTTATATATTAGTCTTATTTAGTGATTTTAATTTTTATATTTTCTAAAAATATATGAAGATTAGTTTGTTTACTTTTTCTCTCTTTAGTTGCAATCTTCCTTTCTTGGGGTGTGTTTACAAGGAATGTTTTACTGAATTGGAATGTGTAAGGAGAAAGGGATTCTCTCTTGGTTAATTGTTTGATTATACTATTAATTTTTGTAATTATGTAATTTAGGGTTTTGTTTTTTAATTCAATATCACATTATTCTTAGAGGAATCAAATTGTACATTTAGTATTAGGTAAGCATGAAAAGGTGTGGAAATTGGATTTAGCTAAACTAATGATTGATTGCTATTTTTCCTTGTGAATGTGAAAGCCTTTTTTACATAGCTTAACGTTAATTTATATATTTTAACTCATAGTAGAGTTATGTGCAAAGGTAACATTGTAACTTGTATAAGCAATTGGATTTTAGGTATTAGAAATATATAACCTTCATTAATGTTTATTAAATTTCTAAATAATAATTGACTCTTTGATTGATATCTTGGTCATAAGACTTATGTGACGGAATTCAAAATCTTAAAAATTCTTCCTTAATGAAGTTATGATAGTTGTAGATGAGATACGACACTTTTATATGTTTTTTTTCATTTCAATATTTTGTATATAGCCTTCAATGTGTGGGACATATGTTGATTGGTGTATGTAGACATGGCAATCGAATCGCTCAAATCAGGTCAATTTGGGTATGCAAACCTAGTAATCAGCCATTTGGATCTGGTACGGGTTGGGTCAAGTTTGTGTTAACAGATAATTAAATTGGGTTCAGGGTAGGTCGGGTCATCTCGTGTTTTGAGTCAAGTTTGGTCAACAGATAATTGGGTTGAGTATTAGATTTCGGGTCGATTCGTGTCAGGATGGGTCATTTCAGGTCGAGTCAATTGTGGATCAAGTTTAGGTTGGGTAAAGTCAAATTCAGATTATCCCATTTAGAGTCGAGACTTTGGTCAAAATTGGATCGGTAAATTTAGGCAAAATTGTCTAAAATAGCACAAACTATTACATAGGTGCACTCAATAGCACGAACTTTAAGTGGAGCAATGAACGACACGAATTTTGGGGGTTGGGTGTCGTAAATTACATAAATGTTTTTTGGTGCGTAGATTCCACCAGATTCCATCTTCTTTTATTTATTTATTTATATATTTATTAGTTAAACTTCCCTAACTACTATATTTATTGTGATTGAAGTTTGTCCAAGGTTGATATAATTTTTTCATCAGATTAAACAATAAATTGCCATCCAATCTCATCATCAAACAAAGCTTCAAAACATCAAGTCAAACTAAGCTCCAGAAGGCTACATAGGACCCCCAAACCTCTAGTTTAAGTCCTTTGTTCCTAATTAAAGTCACAATCTCAATAAAATGATCAATTCTAAGCACTGAAACATCTTCAAACCATTAATTTTTTTTTTTTATCATATAAATAGTCTCATGAAGAGGAAGGGGAGTTAATAATAATAATAATAATAATAATAATAATAATAATAATAATAATAATAATAATAATAATAATAATACTTCTTTCGTTTTTTTTAGTTGTATCACTTTGCAAATTGCGGAGTTCTAGACATTAAAGAGAAATTGAGAGAGATAGAGAGAATAAAAAAGATGGACCCATGTGATAGGAGAGAGATAGATAGAGTTTATTAACTAAAAAGGAAAGTGATCAATGTTATTAAAATCGCGATTCGGATCGTAGAATCGTACGGTTCTACGATCCCAATCCACCTAAACGATGTAAATCGTCAGTAGAATCTCTATGTTGTAGAATCGCTCATAAAATCGGTAGAATCGATTTCTACGATTCTATATCTATTCTAACGATTCCACTCCTGCAAAAAGTCTGATTTTTCGAAACTCATAACTTTTGATTGCGAAGTCAGAATTGGGCTTATAATATATCGTTGGAAAGCTCTTAAGGTCTACTTTCTAATAAAACTAGTTTTGTACTCATATCATTTATATATTTTATATTACAGCCTAAAGTGTGTAAGGGTGTCATAGTTGAGTCTAACTTTAGTCAATGACTTAAATATTATTTAACATAAATCATAATAAAGTTTATGAAACATCAATTTAAATAAATTTTAAAATTCTATCCAACATTTTAATTTTGTGGGCATAAGAATGTATTCATGAGTCTTATGCACTCAACTTTGGGCATATAAAAACACTTTTATAACATGAGTTTGTTGTAGTTGTCATTCTTTAGTTATCTCGTTAAAATGAAATAACTTGACACTTAGTTTAATTTTCTATTATCACTAGATATTTCATTAGGAAAAACAATTTTACGAGTCAATAAAGTTATTTTTTTCATAATTTAACAACAATTGTCTCGTACTCTCGTGGTTAAGAATGTGTACCAATAATCAGACTTTATAGTTTATAATGTATTGTTTATGTTATGCTGGTGCAAAATACCTCTAAAACTATTTTATATTTGTTTTGTCGATATTATGTTATCTACAATATATATTATTATTATTATTCTCATTGCTTGAAGATTATGTATGTAGTCATTAGTTACATTTTGAAGCCAATTTTACAATTTTGTAGAATCGTACGATTCTACGTTCGATTTTACCGATTTACCCCACTCACCGATTCAAGATAGAATATGAAAGTAATGCAACTAATTTAAAACATCTGTTTTAGGAAAATGATTCAAGTTATAAGAAAAGGAGGAAGTAATAATTATACTAATAATAATAATAACAAATATCAATGCAGATCATGAGGTTACAATTGCGGTTGATGGGTCTTAGCAGAAAAACACGAGAAATGCTAGTCTGGGACGGGCTTTTTCTGAAGATGGTGTGAATTGCCATGATGGTGGAGGCTCCTACAGTAAAATAGCCACGGCACTACAGGCAGAATTATTCGAAACATGTCTACAGGCTATGAGTTGGGGCAAAGAGGATGCATTTTGACCAAATAAATCAAGATATATACGGACTCGGAAGTCATGGTGGTTACTCGACTAAGAATGAAAGAAGAGAAGGAGGTGGAGCTGTTATGGACTGCTAAGGAAATTCGAAGGATTTAGAAAACATTCAAAAGCTGTGTTCTTTGGAAAGTAGGAAGGGAACAAGTTTCTAAGGCGCATAAACTTGCTAATGAATGTCGGAACAATTTTACATGTTTTCTAGTATGTAATTTTAATTTGCTGTTGTAAAAAAAAAAAAGAATTAAAAAAATTCTTTATTAAGTGGAACTCTTGATGAATAATATATATATATACATATATATATATATATATATATAAAAAGGGATCTTGCAGTAGTTTGTTGGTTCTCAATCATCTCACCAAGTAGTTAATATTAACAGTTACACAATACACATTATGCACTAACACATTACAAAATAAATTACAAAAGTCACACTAATTTGATTCAGGCTATTTTCGACTAAGATCTGTTCGGGTCAAGGCTTAAATCAATTCAGTAAATTTGGGTATCATGTTTTTTTTATTATTTGGGTCATTTGGGTATAAGGTAATTTTAGTTCGGGTTACTTCGGGTATCGGTTTTTTCGGATAAAATAATTTGGGTTAAAATCAGGTCGGGTCACTTCAGGTAGTATTGAGTCAATTTGAGTCGGGTCACTTGGATCAGGCCAACTTTGAGTCCGATCACTTCAGTTATTATGTCAACTTCGGGTCGAGTAAGGTAGATTTTAGGTTTTTGGTCAAGCTTAGATCATGAGTCGAGTCATCGATGGCAGGTCTAGTTATATGTAGTTATGTGAATTTTTTTTGCTCTACTTCAATTAATTGTAGATTACATATTGAATTGAAATATAAGGGTCGGGAATGAAGTGCATAAGTTCATCACTAGGTCAAGACAAAGGCCAAAATGCTTCTATTAGATGCATACAAAGAAAGAGAAACCCCTATCATAAGAGAAAGTGTAGACATCTACTTTTGATCTCCTCTCCCGACTGAAAGTGCTATGATGATAAATAATTCCATCTTTGTGCTAGATAGGAGTGCTTATGGACTAATGATTAAGGCCTAAACACATAATGTTGGGTTTCGTAGAGTCCGACTCTACGCGGAAGAGAAACCCACCCAAGACCCGCCCACTAATTAAGGCAACTAAGCATGTAATCACAAATTAAACAACAATTAAGAGAGAGAAGGAAAAGATATTCATACCCTTGGCGCGTGCTTCGCTCGAACCCGAGCTCTTACTTCAAAACTTGAACCCCGCAAATGCGAAGGTCTCCAACGGCTCGTACCCACAAACCCGACCCGAACGGTCCTAGTCCCGAAGGTTAGTCGGGACTTGACCAATAAAAACTAGAGTTTTACGAACTTAAAGTTTTCTCACTTTTCTAAGGAGATGCCTTTTTAGTTCCACTCAAATGTTCTTCCCAAATCCCAAAAAACTTGGGTATTTATAGGGAAATGAACCTTGATTTCCCATTCTCAATTAATGTGGGAGATTTGCAATTTTTTCATTTTATTTTAATCAAAACAAAATAAAATTGCAATTCAATCACCAAGTTAAAAGTGGCGATAGGAGGAGAGGGAGAAGGTGAGGACCACCTTGGGAGGGGACCAACCCACCTTGCTCCCCAAGCCAAAAGACCAAGCATTGGTCCCCACTAGCAAAACCGGACCACCAAGGCATGTGGCTGGCTGGCAGCCAGCCTTGGCTGCCAAGGCTGCTAGCTGGTGCCTAACACCAAGGCTGGACAGCCTGGCCAGCCAGCCAGCACACACGCACAGCCAGCCGCAAGCATGCGCAGCCATCCAGCACAAGGCCAGCCAGCACGCATGCCTCGCTGCTGCTTGGTGCCTGGTGCTGGGCGCTGCTAGGCGAGGCTGCTGCCTGCTTGGCCAGCTAGCACGCACAGCCTCGCACACACGCATTGCTTGCGATGCTGTGTGCTATGCTGTGCGATGCTCAAGCTTGGTGCGTCAATGCTTGCGGCTGGGGCATGGCCAAGCACACTAGCACTATGCGAAGGCTAGGTGCTTGGCCTAGCATGCCAGCAAGCACGCACGCCTAGCACGTTGCTAGCACGCAATGTGTTTCGGGGTTTTTTGTGTCCTACGGGAGAGTTACAATGCCGAGACTGGAACCGGACGCCTGTACCTGCAAAACAAACGGATGCTCCGGATGATTGGAGATCCGCCTCCGACGGTCAAGTTAGTACTTGATTAAGGAGTAATTAATGCGGAAATAAAAGTGTTTTGGTCTCTCTAGGTGAGAGTGTTAAATGTGCGTAATCCCCCCTAATGAGGATTAATGAAGGTATTTATAACCTTGGGAAGCGTGCCACTTTCTAGGTTTAGGGTAAACCTAGGGCTGACTGGGCCTCCAAACGGGATTGGGCCTTGTTGGCTGCTTTATCCATTT